ATAGCAATTTCGTTAACCGAAGCTCGTTAACCGAGAGTCCACTGTACTGTATTGTACTGTACTGTATTGTTCTGTATTGTACTGTACTGTATTATACTGTGCTGTATTGTGCTCTACTGAATTGTACTGTACTGTATTGTACTGTATTGTAGTGCTGTACTGCACTGTACTGTACTGTACTGTGCTGTTCTCTGCTGTACTGTATTGTACTGTACTTTACTGTACTCTACTCTACTGTACTGTACTGTGCTGTATTGTACTGTACTCTATTGTACTGCACTCTATTGTACTGTACTCTATTGTACTGTATTCTATTGTACTGTACTCTATTGTTCTGTACTCTACTGTACTGTGCTGTATTGTACTGTACTGTGCTGTACTGCATACGGTATTTGTGTACTGTAGTGTACTACTGTACTCTACTGTACTGTATTGTGCTATACTATGCTGTGCTATTGTACTGTGCTTATTTTGTACTGTGCTCTACTGTACTGTGCTGTACTGTACTGTATTGTACTGTACTCTATTGTACTGTACTCTGTACTGTGCTGTACTGTGCTCTACTGTACTGTACTCTAGTGTACTGTGCTGTGCTGTGCTGTGCTGTACTGTATTGTACTGTACTGTACTTTACTTTACTGGACTGTGCTGTGCTGTACTGTGGTGCTGTATTTGTGCTGTTTGTACTGTTACTCTACTGTACTGTGCACTGTACTGTACTGTACTGTATTGTTCTGTACTGTACTGTGCTGTACTGTGTGTTACTGTATATTGTACTGTATACTGTGCTGTATTGTACTGTGCTCTACTGTACTGTATTGTACTGTATTGTACTGTACTGTGCTGTGTGTACTGTGCTCTACTGTATGTGCTGTACTGTACTGCTGTACTGTACTGTTCTGTACTGTACTGTTAACAATACTGTATTGTACTGTATTGTACTGTACTGTATTATACTGTACTGTACTGTACTGTACTATACTGTGCTATGTGTACTGTGCTCTACTGTACTGTGCTGTACTGTATTGTACTGTGCTGTACTGTACTGTGCTGTACTATACTGTGCTATGTGTACTGTGCTGTATTGTACTGTTCTGTACTGTACTGTGCTGTACTGTATTGCACTGTATGTTGTACTGTACTGTACCATACTGTGCTGTGTTATGCTGTACTGTACTGTACTGTACTATACTATACTGTGCTGTATTATACTGTCTACTGTACATGCTGTACTGTGTGCATGTGCTCTACTGTACTATGTGTACTGTATTGTACTATACTGTATTGTACTGTACTGTACTGTGCTGTAGTATGCTATATGTACTGTATATGTTATATTGTACCATATTACTGTACTGTACTGTACTGTACTGTACTCTTAAAACTTATTGTCAGTAGTAAACCTGAGATGACTGGTGTGCACTGTATGTGAGGTTGTTTCTATAGGGTGGACACAGGGGATCAGGTCACTCACAAGTTGTTGGCAACCCTCCACTCCTAAAATTGGGCTACACTTCCGAATTTCAGTAAAACTAGCGATAACATTTTTCTCAACTCAATTGAAGCCCCGAGAAGTTGGGAGTAGCGAAGGAGATTCAGTTTCAAAGTCGTT